CATTAGGTAAATGCAAATCAAAGTCACAGTGAGATACTACATCCTGCCTCTTAGAATGGCCATCATTAAAAAGACAAATGCTGGTGAGGATGTGGAGAAGAGGGAACTCCGTGTACTGTGGGTGGGAATGTAAATTGGGGCAGCCACTATGGAAAACAGTATGGAGGCCCGGCTGGTGTGGCTCAGTGGTTGAACATCGACCCATGCACCAAGAGGTCGCCAGTTCGATTCCCAGTCGGGGCACATGCCCAGGTTGTGGGCCTGATCCCCAGTGGGGGGGCAGGCAGGAGGCGGCCAGTCAATGTTCTCTCTCATCAATGTTTCTATCTCTCTCCCTCTTCCTTTCTCTCTCTCTAAAATTAATAAAGGAAAAAAAATTTTTTTAAAAGAAAACAGTATGGAGAATCCTCAAAAAATTAAAAAGAGAACTACCATGTAACTTAGCAATTCCACTTCTGGGAATATAGTCAAAGGAAATGAAAACACTATGTCAAAGAGATATCTCCACTCCCACATTCAGAGCAGTCGTATTTACAACAGCCAGGACATGGAAACACCTGTGTCTACTGATGGATGGATGGACAAAGAAGATGTTAGACAGATGATAGATATACACACACCATGGAATACTATTCAGCCATAGAAAGTGGGAATATTCTGCTGATTTGGAGGGTATTATGCTAATTAAAATAAGTCAGAGGAAGACAAATATTGTATGATTCCCCTTATACAGTATGTGGAATCTTAAAAAAAAAAAAAAAAAAAGGCCCAACTCATAGAAAAAGATCAGATTATTTGTGGTTACCAGGGGGAAGGGGGGATTGGAGGAAGGTGGTCAAAAGGTATGAACCTCCAGTCATAAAATACCAATTACTAGGGACAGAATGTACAACTTGACCACTACAGTGAACACTGCTATTTGATATATAAGAAAGTCGTTACGAGAGTGAACCCCGAGTTCTCATCACTAGAAGAAAAATATTTTGTTCTTTTTTGCTTTTTTTTAATTTTTTTTTTTTATACTCACCAAAGGACATTTTTGCATTTATCTTCAGATAGAGCAGGAAGAAGCGGGGGGGGGGGGGGGGGGAGAAACATCAACGTGAGAGAGACACATCGAGTGGTTGCCACCCACACGACCTCAACCGGGGCCAGGGACAAACTGCAACCAAGGCACCTGCTCTTAGCAGGAACCAAACCCGGGACTCTCCAGTCCGCGAGCCGATGCTCTAACCGCTGAGCCAAACCGGCCAGGGCTTTTTTGCTTTTTTCTATATGCGATGCTGGTGGATGTTTACTAAACTTACTGCAGTAGCCATTTCACGATAGCTGAAAGTCGAATCATCATGCTGTACACCTTAAACTTATATGTCAACTATATCTTAATAAACAAGAAAATAAAAAGTTAATTCCAACCAGTGCTATAACAAAATCCAATTCCCAGGGCCATGGTGAATTTGGAAATAAAATCCCACCTTGAATTATCAATGGCTAATGGCTAGTACCTGTTAGTTCTTCATGGTTGGTGCACCCAGACAAGGGGCCAGCGCCCTCGTGAGCGCTCAGTATTAGCAACAAACCCAAATATTGGCCGTCAGAGGCTGGGGACCCCTCTTCTGCACATGTCCACTACTCAGTTGTATAAGCTTAGAACCCTCGTAGTTATCATGGTAGTCCTGCTTATGGATGTGATTTACATGTTGGTCTCTCATGATTACATATTGTGGTATATAGATTCACACATGATTCTATTATGGCTGCATATACGATTTGCCTGTTGGTCTTCCCCAGGTAACTGAAGACGGGGCCTGATACCACAGTGAGTGTGTTCTAACCACGAGCACACAGCAGAGTCACCCCGCGTCTGTCCGGGGCTGATCGGCGCTGTGGAGTCTGTCCAGCAGCAGTGACTGTCGACAGCAGCCTCTGTGGTTTAGAGTCGCAGGCCTGGTGGGGAGCCGCTGGTCCGGGAGGCAGGGCTGACACAGATGAAGACCGTGAACTCTCGGTTGGGATCTGGGCTCAACAACCTACTACCTGTAGAAGCTTGAACGGGACATTAACCCTAGCCGTGCCTTGGGTGTAACGGGGGTAATAACAGCGCCCGCCTAGGAGTGTTAGTGTGAAGAGCAGATCAGGTAAAACAAGGGCAGAGCTCAGAACAGCTAAACCCATTGTACGTCCTCGGGCCGCGTGGCTCGGTTGGTGTTCACCCTGCAGGTCCGAGCTTCACGTTAGCACAGATGTGATGTGCAGTTGATAGTAAGCAATGGGGGCTGCGTGCTGTTATCCAGAAGAAGCAAAGGGAGGGGGGTAAGGAAAGGGAATGAGGACAGGAGGAGAGAGGAGATGGTAGGGTGTCACCAGCAGTTGGCACAGGGGACACCAAAAATCCTTCCTCCCTCTTGCCGAATTCATTCTGCCAAATGAAACATTGGTGAGGGCTTGAAATGAAATTCTTAAACACACAGGTTTAAGACTCTTCTGCAGCCCTGGCCAGTTTGGCTCAGCGGTTAGAGCATCGGCCCATGGACCAGAGAGTCCCGGGTTCAGTTCCCACTAGGGGCACGTACCTTGGTTGTAGTTTGTCCCCAGTCCCCAGTTGGGGTCGTGTGGGTGGCAGCCAGTCAATCTGTCTCTCTCACATCGATGTTTCTCTCTCTTCCTCCCTCTCTCCCTCCTGCTCTATCTGAAGATAAATGCAAAAATGTCCTCGGGTGAGGATTAAAAAAAAAAAAATCTTCTGCGGTTGTCCCACATGTAACAACCCAATGTGGCCCAACTTCTGTCTCCAGAGAAAGTGACCCCAGCCTGTGTGACTCTGATTTGAGATCAAAATCCCCAGTAGTAATGACAGCGCTAACTTTGGACTCACTGTTTACCTTCTTGACCCATCTTCCCAGCTGCTGCAAGTTGGACAATAGAGCCTTCCCACTGGAAGCAGATTTTCTTGTAACCCCAAGAACGTGCCATCTGAGAGCCTAGATCCACCCCTTGCTGCGTCCCCTTTTCTAAATGTTCTCTCTCAAACGTTCTGTCACCTTCTCTCTGGGATGACTCCCTGGAAATAGCAACAGTTCGGAGAATCATGTGGTCCCTGCCCTTGTCTGGCTCTGTGAGCCCTCTGAGCTAATGGTCCATATATATAAGAATCTCTGCCTCTGTTGTGAGAATGAAACTGGGGTCAAGTACGTGCAGTGCCTAGCACAGTACCTGTCAAAGCATCAGGGGCTTGTGTGGTCTGAGATTAGTTTCACCTGCTAAGTAACAGCTACAGGAATAAGACCTCAAAGGAGTCTAAGGGTGAGCAATTCGTGGCTGGCATGGATGACCACTGAAGACACCTAGGTCCACAAAGAGAGAGCTAGACTCTTTTGTCTCTGGGTGAACCTTGAGGTTTCATCCTCAAAGTCACCCCATAGTCACAAAGTGACTGCTGGAGCTCCAGGGATCACATCCGCATTCCACATAGGCAGAGGAGGAAAGTAGGGAAAGCAAAAGGGTGTCTACTTCTTAGCTGAGTCAGCTTCCTTCAAGGGTCCCAGAAGACCCAGCTAATAACTCTCACTTGTGTCATGTTAGCCACCCCTATCTCCAAAGGAAGCTGTGAAACATAGGTCGTCACCTGGGTACGGCGCTGCTCCGCAGAATACAGGTGGGTGTGGAATTGGGAGTAGTGCTTATCTCCTCATAACACTGCAGCGTGGAGCCTCCGGGGCTGTGGCATTGCCTCACCGTCTCTGCCCCACTGGACACATCTCAGGTCACTCAATGCATATATAATTCAGCAAGCGGTACACCTGGTTAAATGTCTGAGTGGCTAACTGGTCAAAGTCTTTAGTGCTAAGTCCCAGACCAACCCTACCACTTCACTGCTGTGTGACCTTGAGCAAGTACATAACCTCTCTGTTTCTGGCTCAGTTTTGTCATTAGTCAAGTGATTTTTGTGAGCATCGACTTAGACAATGGATGCAAGTTGCCTAACTCAATGCCAGTATACACTAGCCCTCAGCACATGTTAATGTTAGTATTACCATCATCATAACCATCCTCTTTATCACTAAGTGCTATTGAACCATTAGGGTGAGGTGAGGAGGTACCAGCCATCTCCATATCTCTTCCTACTGCCTGTTTATATCTTCTGTTGCCATCAGCAGTCGTCCAGGATGTCTGGATTCGCAGTCAATTATGTTGAAAGAGCCCGAGCTGAGTCGGCTTCATTTTATTCACTTCCAGCTGTCCACTCGGGGCTGCAGATTTAGACACGCGGCTCAATCTCAAGAGTCGTCTCCTTTACCCCTACCCAGATTCTAGCCTCCCAACTGTGCCATCTGGGACGGGCTTTCTTCTCGTCGGATCACATCAACTTCCAAACAAACATTAAATCATGTCTGGATGGATTCTACTACTCCTCTTGAATCTAAGTACATCAGTCTTCCCCTTTGTGGGCATCCCCGGCCCTGCTGAGGTCTCCCCACGGAGGTCTTGCAACCTTGGCAGATGTCTGTCTACATAGAAGTAAAGGAGTTCACCTAAGAATGAACCTTCAGATTCCAGGTCTTTGCAAAATATGGATTTCGAAAACTTCCTCCCTCCCCTCCTGGGTACCTTTACTTAAGGCTTCAGATGAAATCCTGGCACCTGTGTTACAGTTTGCTGGCTACTCAGCGGGTGATGTGGCAAAAAAAGGCTCATAAGTGTGCAAAGGTACACTCTTGCCCCACGGTGGCTGTGCACTGCATAATTTCGCCATCCACGCGTTCAACAACGTGGCGGCACCGCTACATGGTGCACCCCCCCCCCCCCGAGCAGGATTCTAGTACACCCTACAGATGTCACCACTTTCTATGTGTACCATGATGTAAAAGAGTTTAGAAAGCACTTCAGGGTAATGTCTCCCTCCGGCGTACCCTGTGCCCTGGCCACGCCAGCCGTGGGCTCCACAGAAGCCCGAGCCAACACGTGATCTCTCTCTAACCAGGCCCTTTGTGTTTGCCTAGGTCCATGGAAGGAATCTCTTGTCCATTGACTATGACCGGAATATTCGAACAGAAAAGATCTACGATGATCACCGGAAGTTCACCCTGAGGATCATTTACGACCAGGTGGGCCGCCCCTTCCTCTGGCTCCCCAGCAGCGGGCTGGCCGCCGTCAACGTCTCGTACTTCTTCAACGGACGCTTGGCGGGCCTGCAGCGCGGGGCCATGAGCGAGAGGACAGACATCGACAAGCAAGGCCGGATCGTGTCGCGCATGTTTGCCGATGGCAAAGTGTGGAGCTACTCCTACCTTGACAAGGTGGGTGAGCCTGCCGCCCTGGGCCAGCTTTTCTTAAGCCGACCTGATACGCTTCGCCAGAGACCCTGGACCATCTTTAACTCCACAAGGGCTCCCCTCCCACTCGGCCCCTCGCTGGGAGGGAGGCCATCTGAATGAAATAGTAATAGCTCAGCACTATTACCAGTAAAGGAGGGGAAAAGGGCTAGACACTCAGCAATGGCAAAAAGGAGAGACTCTCTGATTTCATTCCAAAAATAATACTACTACTAGACAGAATCATCCCACAGACAGCATGGCTGATCATTACTTATAAATTAGAAGCGCAGGGATTCGTTTCTGCATAGCCTGAAGTTACGCCATCAGAGGAGGAAGTGTACCTGAAACTCAGCACACAGAGCAACGCCCTCCCACGTGGCCTGTTGCTGAACCAGCCAACGGGTCCTCTCCACCAACTGCTTGTGTCTGAAAGTACCAGGTTCAGGTCTCTGTGTAGGTCTATGTAGGTTGACGGGGGGTAAAAAGAGGCCCTTCTTCCTCACCTCCTGATGAGTGTTCCCTTGCAGGCAGAGCTGTTACCTCCTCTGCAAGGGAGGGGCTGCTGTCCCGTTGGCCCCTCCTGAGTACATTCTCATTATGCCATAAAATACTGGGATGGTTGACCAGAGGCAGCAGGAATCTCCCAATTGCCTCGAGTTTGAGGCCATTTTTTCCCCCCAAAGAATCGATGATCCTGGGCTATTTAATCTTTTCAGTAGCTTCTAAATGGAGGCTGCACTTTCTCTTTAATCAGGGGTGGCACAAACGTAGTATATGTGCCACACTCGCCCCCTGCTGGGTCAGTGGCGGTCATTTCTAAACAATTTCAAGATTCCTTGTTGTTGAGTCTGTAGGCAAACTCAACCAGTGATCTCACCTCAGTCCTCCGGGCCCTCACTACTCAAAGCACGGTCCCTGCAACATCAGCGTCACCAGGGACGTTGTTACAGAAGCAGATTCTCAGGCCCCGCCCCTTTCCCGGAACTAATGAATCAGAATCTGCCTTTGAACAAGATCCCGTACACTTTCAAGTCTGAGAAGTGCTGTTCCAGGCAGCCACCCTGATCCATCAGAGTTGGCATGCCCAGTGAAATCAACCTCCTCATAATCTCTGGTCTAAACAACCCCATCCTTCATGCCTGTTGAATGGACTTTTGGGGAAATGGCATAAATGCTGTTCGTTTGAGTGATTGGTCCAAAACAGCCAACTCATGAGTTCCTTTCCCCTTTCCTTCCCCCAGTCCATGGTCCTCCTGCTTCAGAGTCAGCGCCAGTATATATTTGAGTATGACTCCTCCGACCGTCTGCACGCCGTCACCATGCCCAGCGTCGCCCGGCACAGCATGTCCACGCACACCTCCATTGGCTACATCCGCAACATTTACAACCCTCCCGAAAGCAACGCTTCGGTCATCTTTGACTACAGTGATGATGGCCGCATCCTGAAGACGTCCTTTTTGGGCACCGGGCGCCAGGTGTTCTACAAGTATGGGAAACTCTCCAAGTTATCGGAGATCGTCTATGACAGTACCGCCGTCACTTTCGGGTACGATGAGACCACTGGTGTTTTGAAGATGGTCAACCTCCAAAGTGGGGGCTTCTCCTGCACCATCCGGTACCGGAAGATTGGCCCACTGGTGGACAAGCAGATCTACAGGTTTTCTGAGGAAGGCATGGTTAATGCCAGGTTTGACTACACCTATCATGACAACAGCTTCCGGATTGCGAGCATTAAGCCCGTCATAAGTGAAACTCCCCTTCCTGTGGACCTCTACCGCTACGACGAGATATCTGGCAAGGTGGAACACTTCGGCAAGTTTGGAGTTATCTATTATGACATCAACCAGATCATTACCACTGCCGTGATGACCCTCAGCAAACACTTTGACACCCATGGACGGATCAAGGAAGTTCAGTATGAGATGTTCAGGTCCCTCATGTACTGGATGACGGTGCAGTACGACAGCATGGGAAGAGTGATCAAGAGGGAGCTAAAACTGGGGCCTTATGCCAACACCACCAAGTATACCTATGACTATGACGGGGATGGGCAGCTCCAGAGTGTGGCTGTCAATGACCGCCCAACCTGGCGCTACAGCTATGACCTCAATGGGAACCTTCACTTGCTGAACCCGGGCAATAGTGTGCGCCTTATGCCCTTGCGCTATGACCTCCGGGATCGGATAACCAGACTTGGGGACGTGCAGTACAAAATTGACGATGATGGCTATCTGTGCCAGCGAGGGGCTGACATCTTCGAGTACAACTCCAAGGGCCTCCTCACGAGAGCCTACAACAAGGCCAGTGGGTGGAGCGTCCAGTACCGCTATGATGGTGTGGGGCGGCGGGCTTCCTACAAGACCAACCTGGGCCACCATCTGCAATATTTCTACTCTGATCTCCACAACCCAACTCGCATCACCCATGTCTACAATCACTCCAACTCCGAGATAACCTCGCTCTACTATGACCTCCAGGGTCACCTCTTTGCCATGGAGAGCAGTAGTGGGGAGGAGTACTACGTTGCCTCAGATAATACAGGGACTCCCCTGGCTGTGTTCAGCATCAATGGTCTTATGATCAAACAGTTGCAGTACACAGCCTATGGGGAGATTTATTATGACTCCAACCCTGACTTCCAGATGGTCATTGGCTTCCATGGGGGGCTCTATGACCCCCTGACCAAGCTGGTCCACTTCACTCAACGTGATTATGACGTGCTGGCTGGACGATGGGCCTCTCCAGACTACACCATGTGGAAGAATGTGGGCAAGGAGCCAGCCCCCTTTAACCTATATATGTTCAAGAGCAACAATCCTCTCAGCAATGAGCTGGATTTGAAGAACTACGTGACAGGTGAGGACTCTGTGCCTCGGTTGGGCAGTGGCTCCCTGTGGGGTGGTTGGTCCTGGTAGACGGTTGGGAACTTCAGAAGGTCGTACATCTTATGCTAGGAGAATCCTGGAGAGCTGTACACCTGGGCAGCACAGTATCTGGAACAGCCAAGTGACAGTACAGAGCAGTCACCAAGTCTGTTTGAAGATGTCCTGACCATTTTCAAGTCCATTCAGTTGAAATAACTTTTATAAGAGCCCTTCCTACCCCAACAGAGGGAAACCGCTTTATGGAGGGGGAAAGAACGGGACTCTAGTGCAGAAATATCTGGTTCAAATTCTTTCTCAATTTATAAGCCAGTGGACCATGGGCTAGTTGTCCAGTCTCTCTGAGCTGTAGTTTCCTTCTCTGTGAAAGGACACTAATGAAACCACCCTATGAGTGATCTGAAAAAGTAAATGAACTAATGTAGGTAAAGCCTAGTGCCTGGCACTTAGAGAGCGGATGGTCACCAAGTATCTGCTTGTGTAGTAACATCATCATTACTAGTGAAGCAATGAGTAGCATAGGTACTGAAATGACTAAACCCAGTTCCCCACCTTACCCCCAAGGATGGCAGGATACACATACAAATAACCAATGATAACACAAAGCAGAATTAAGTCTGTGCTACCTTATAGGTATCTGTTCTGTTATTTATTCAACAAACATTTGTAGAGTTGGCACCAGGCTAGATTCTGGGAATTCAATGGTAAACAAGACAAGCACCCTTCTCTCAAAGTGTGTGTGTGTGTGTGTGTGTGTGTGTGTGTGTGTGTGTGTGTTAAGATTTGAACATTTTGATGTACTACAGAAGGGTCCCAAGGGTCAAACTGGACTAATGAAGGCAATCTTGATTGGCAGAAATGGGCTCAAGGCTAAAGGAAAACTATAAGCAAAAGTCAGAAGCATGTAGGAAGCTTTGAGAGGCTATGGATCGAGAGACCAAAGAGGGCAATGGTCTACTTCTTCGTGAGAAATTGGTGAAATGAGGGTCCCTGTCCATCCGCCTACATCCGTCAACCCATCCATTCACCCATTCCACAAATATTTTCATAGCATCTAACATATACTTACAACTAGAGAAGCAGAGGCAAGCAAGATAAAGTCCCTGTCCTCAGGGAAATGAGCGAGGAAATCTAGATGGATGGATGGATGGATGGATGGATGGATGGATGGATGGAGATCCAAAGAGACCAACTTCCAGCAAAGAAGCCAGGCATTGCCCATGCATTGTGGGGGAACAACATGGGGACCCCAAGTCCAAGGCCCCCAAGTTCCAAGAAACTTAACAGCTCTTGGCCATGGGCCAGAGAGGCATCAAGCCTAAGGGGCCCCTACCCTCAGGTGACAAGGAGTCACCTGTCCATCCCAACTGCCTGGAGCATAGTGCTGCCCACTCTGTCCCATGCCGCAGGGAGAAATGGCCCGTCTTAAAGATCGTGTGGCCACGCCATGCCTCACTGGCAAGTTCCAGACCCTTTGAAGTTGGGCCTAGCCGTCCCCCAACTGAAGCAGCTGGTACCTTGTGAGCCCAGGAGCTATGGCCAAGCTGGTTCCCTCCCATTCTGCCCCCTCGTGGGGAGGCGCTCATCCCCATGCTACTCTGCCAGGCTCCTCTCTCCCTGGGGCTCAGCCTGACGTTTGTCCCCCCCCCCCCCCTTCACCGCAGTTTCTGATTAAAGCACCTCTCAGGAAAACACACACGCGTATACAGTTTCAGATCATGATAAGTGCTATGAAAACAAATAAAATAGGTTGAGGGGTTAGACAGAGAGTATAGGGCGTGTCTGCTTCGGGTGCGCACAGAGGCCTTTCTGAACAGGTGGCATGAAGTGGGGTGTGGGTGGGAGGAGCAGTGTCCAGATGGAGGAGCAGTGTGACCGGGGAAGCAGATCACGCCTGGCTCAGCCGTCGGAGAAGAGTCTTCCACGCCCCAGAACGTGCTTCCGAGCGCCTTGCTGGGCACTGGGACCTTAGGCAGGAATCAGCCAGAGGCCAGCGTTCAGAGACCTGTAAGGAAGCTGAACAAACCTACCAAGGCCCAGACAAAATCGTTCCCAGAGCGCAGTCAACCTCACTGACCCCTCAGCTACGTTCTTGGTTCTCCTGAAAAGGCAAAAAAAAAAAAAAGGTTAGAGTTTTCTTTTCTTTTCTTTTGCCTGTTTTTGTTTTCCCTGGAGGCTCAGGTGGCACGTGGCAGTTCAAGGTAGAGGGGAAACAAAAAATAAACGGGTGGGGAAGAGAAACCACCAGGGGCAGGTGGGAGCTGCTGGTTCCGTCTCAGCCCAACTTAGCAGAAGGAGTTGGTGCCTCTGAACACAAAAGATGGATCCCTTCCCCCAACCCTTGGTCGGTGAGAGAGGAAAAAAGCAAGAGGCTCTTGGCTTTGGCCCTCCTGAGTCTCCAGGAAAAGGGGGGGGGGTGTTTTGATGTCATCAATTACGGGGAAGGTCGGGGGCAGTGCTGGGTAGGGTACAGGTCAGTTGGAAAAACTGGCAGACACCAGATGGTAGTTGTGGGTGTCCTCTGAGTTGGAATCACTGTGGTACTGGGGATGAGGGGGCCCCACCGTTGATGGGGGCTGAGGTCGGCCCCCTGGGCTGTGGGCTGCCTGGCTCCAGGGGTCTGCTGCGGTGGCCGCTGGAAGGGGGGGGCAGTCTCATGGGCGTTGGCGCTCAGGCCCGGAACCATCCGTGTGACCTTGGCTGGGCTGCCCTCCCCTTCTGCGGTAAGCTGGCTGCTGGGGGGCCTGGAGTGGAGGACCTTCACTATCTGAGCCAGAATCTGGGTGGGGCACCCACTCTTCGCCCTGCTATTGGCCCCCCTCCAGCGGGGCTGACTCTTTCCGTTCTCCCCCATCGGTGCCTCTGGAGGCTGCCATGGTTGTGGGTCCTTGGGCCTCCACACCGCGATGGCCCGCAGAGGGAGGGTCGCGGGGCCGTGGCCTGGGCCTCCGCCCAGGGTCTTCAGCTCACTTCCCTTCACGGCCTCTGTCCCGCTCGACGGAGCCTCTGCCGCCGTGGATGGTGGGCCGCTGGGCAAGGCTGGGCGATGATGGTGGAATCCTGTGGTTGGGGGCTGGGGGGACACCCCCTGGGCCGTTACACGAGCAGCTTCTGTACCCGTCTCTCCTTCCGACGGCACAGCCTCCCCTCTCCAGCTGTGCAGACACGTCCTGGGGTGGTTTCTCTTCACAGCGGTCTAGGGAACAAAGACACCCTCCCGGATGACAGTCCTGTTGAATCCCTAACGGTCCCCGACATGGAAACGGTGCCCAGGACTCGGGCTGCCGGCACCTGCTTGTCCGCCTGGCTCCCGCTCAGGGCCCAGTTCCCGAGGCTGCTGTTCCCTGGTTGTCAGGGGTGCAGGGTCCCAGCAGCAGGGCCCAGGCAGCTCCCACCCCGCTAGCACCCGGTACCACCCGGCTACTGCCCTGGTGGCCCATCAAGGGCACCACCGCCGCTGGGGGGCGCTGGCGACACCGCTGCTCCTCCGCCTCGCTCATCCCACCCGGTCCAGTACCTGTGCCCCCGTCGGCTCGCGAACCCGAGGTCCCACCTCCGTGCGCCCCGAGCCTTGCGCCCTGGCTTCCCTCATTCCAGTGCTTCGGAGGCTGAATACAGGGGAATGAAATCGAGTTGAACTAAGTCCAACAAAAGTGAATCCGGAAACCACTAAAGAGAGTCTGACATAAAGGCAGTTAGAGAAGCCATGTGGCTGGGCCGATGCCCACAAGCTGGACTGGGGGGCTGGGGAGAGAGACAGCGGGACCAGGCACCAGCCGATCCCGGGGCAGGGGCAGGACACATGACCTCTGGAGAGAGGACCCAGCAGAGAACATAACTCATTCTCCACGCTCCACATGTGGGCTCATCTGCAGACCCCCATCTAAGCAAGTCTTAATGTGCCCCTTAGGAGGGGAGCAGAGTGGCTGAACTTGCTGCTCACGATTTAAGCAGAAGTAATTAAGAGGTAGTCGGGAGGGCCGTAAGGAACAGAACCTTCTCTCTGGTGCTCAAGAGGGTCTTTGCTGCTTGCAAACAGCTGTCTGGGTGCAGAAAGGCAGCTCCTGAGGCCGGACAGTGGCTTCCTCCTGGGACTGCGTGGTATACGGGGGAGCCTGCAGAGCCCGGGCTGGAAGCGCCCAGACACCGGAGCCAGAGCCGGGGCAGCTGCCAGGAAGGGGCAAAGGAGGACAAGAAAGATCCCTTTCCCACTCACGGGCTCCGAAGCAGCAGCCTGTTTAGCAGTTATTTTTGAAGGCACTATATTGATGATTGACACATCTGTGGGAAAACAGTATCAGTAAAAGACAGACTAGGAGACAGACCTCCCTCCCAGTGTTCGTACCCAGCAGACTCCCCGGTCCTGGACAACCAGGACCAGAGCCCAGCCTCAGGCCTTTTCCTTCTGAGGGCAGCACCTGAACACATCACCATTTCCAGCCCTGCCCTTCACGTGCTGTGCAACTTGAGCAAATGTCTTAACCTCTCTGAGCCTTAGTTTCTTCATCAGCAAAATAGTGATGATAATAGTACCCACCCATGGGAGTGGAAACAGAAATGAACTGTCCCTCAGAAAGCTCCCAGCCCAGCACGGAGGCCAATGAATGGCAGGAATGGTTGCCATGCAGGTGCGGCAATGCACACACACATGGGAACTCCGTAGATGGAAAGTGAGGATACCATCTTTGCATAATTTTCTGGAGGATGTGGGGAGGGGTCTCCGGCTCCACGTGACATGGATCCATAATCTCTGAGGGCCATGGCTTTGGCCGTCCTGAAACCCCCGACACATTTCAGTGGAGCCAAACTCCTAGATGTAACCCACACTGGCCTGTGTGTTCACCTTGCCCCTTGTCCTGGGCGGGTCGTTGGGTTTACAACGCCAGGCACCCGTGAGCAGAGTCGGAGTGTGAGGTTGAATTTCCCTACGTGAAGAGGAAGACACAGCCTCCTTCTTCCCTCACCCTCTTCTTC